CAGTACGAAAGACAGACACTATCTGATTTAGTTTGGTTTCCAATAGTGTCATAAAAATGCTGACCAAAAAACCAACTTGAGAGGAAAGAGCTCCTCGAAACTTTAAGCCCATGATGAATCAGCTCAGGAACTCAAGGCAGGAGCTGAAGCAGAGGCCATGGAGGGGTGCTGCTCCTTGGCTTGCTCCCCATGGCTTGTTTAGCCTGTTTTAATACAACTCAGGGTCACCTGCCCAGGGGTGGCACCACCCACAATGTGCTGGCCCCTCCCACATCAATGAAGAAAATGCTTGGTCTTCATGTGGGTCCCCTAGCAAATGGAGTGGGGCTGTCACTGATGTGGACTCAGTTCCCCGCAGGTAGATAAGCTGCCCCTTGGCTGGGCTGCCTTGCCTGGCCTCAGTGGAAGAGGACGCACTGGATCTTGACTGGATGTGCCTGGGTAAGGTGGTAAGGGGCAGGGCTCCCCTTTTCTGAGGGGGAGGGGAGAGAGAAAGAGGGAAAGAGGGTGGGAGGGTGAGACTGGGAGGAGAGGAGAGAGGTGCATTTGGGATGTAAAGTGAATAGATAATTTTTTTTTTTAAAGAAAGACTATCCCCATCTACAGACTAATCTTATGGAGGCATTTTCTCAATTAAGGTTCCTCTTCCCAGATAACTCTAGTATCTGTCAAGTTGGAAAGGGAGGTAGGGTGGGAGGGAAGGATGGAAGGAAAGAAAGGGAGAGAAGGATGGAGGGAAAGACGGAAGAAAGGGAGAGAGGGAGGGAGGCAGAGGGCTGGAGAGAGAGGGAGGGGGAAGAAAAAAGGGGGAGGAAAGAAGGAGAGAAACTACCTAAACAACCCACTATCTTGGGTAAAAGGACAAAAAAGGGCTGCTCCAAGCTAATGAACCTGGGAATCAAGCAGGTGTCACTGCTCTAATACCTGACAAAACAGACATCACACCAAACCTACTGAGAAGGTCACTTCATACTGACTGAGGAAACAATCCATCAAGAGGATAATTCTGAACAGACATGCCCCAAACACAGGTCCATCCAGTGTCATAAAGCTACTAGATGGAAATCCACCGATCACCTGCACAACAGGAGAGTGTGACTTCAATACTCCTCACCAACTGACAGGTCATTCTGACAGAAAATAAAAATACTTTTTATAATTTATTCTTATTTTACATGCTTTGGTATCTTGTTTGCATGTGTGTCTGTGTGAGGATTCAGATCTTGGAGTTACAGGCCAATTGTGAGCTGCCATGTGGGTGCTGGGAATGAAAATAAAAATACTTGAATTAAATGACACCCTAGAGCAAATGAACTTAATAGACATCTCTAGAACATTCCATCCCGACACTACAGAATGCATGTTCATCTGAGCAGCCTATGGAATCTTCTGTAAAATAGATCATATATAGGACACAAAGCAAGTATCAAAAAATAAAAAAATAATTCTTTGTATCCTTTCTGATTACAATGGAATAAATCTACAAACAATAGCAAGAGAAACCGTACAACACCAACTCAAAGATTAAACACACTACTGAGTGAAGAGAACCAAATGAAGATGAAAACACAACATACTAAAACCTATGGGACACAAATCAGGCATAAGAGAGTTATGGCTGTGAGTAACTAACATTAGAAAGTCAAAGAGATGCCAAATGAATAACCTATAGATATACCTTAGGAACCTGGGAAAAGAACAAGCCAAATCTCAAGTCAGCAAACAGAAAGAAATTATAAGATCACATCAGGAATTAATGAAATGGGAGGAAAAAAAAACAAAAACAATGAAACCAAAAGTTGGCTCTTTGACAATAAACAATATTGACAAAACTTTAGCCAAACCACCAAAAGAAAAAAGTGAACACCCAATTTAATAAAATTAGAGATGAAAGAGGAGCCATTACAACAGAAGACCAATAAAAATTCAGAAAATAATTAGGTCTTCTACTAAATTTGGAAGTCTAAAACAGGTGAATTTCTAGATGCCTATGACCTATCAAAATTAAGCCAAGATGAGATAAACAAACACTGATATTGAAGCAGTAATTTAAAATCTCCAAATAAGAAAGTTATACTCTCTTTTTATGAAGTTAATATTGTCCTAGTACCAAAAACTGATAAACAGAGAGAATTAAGAACAATTTCCCTGAGAAACATAGATAAAATTTTTCTCAACAAAACATTTACCAGCGAAACTCAGTAACACATCAAAAATATAATTAACCATGATCAAGCTGAGTTTATTCCAGAAATTCAAGGACCATTTAATATATGTAAATCAATAAATGTAATAAGCTACATAAATGGACTCCATAACAAAAATCATGGTCATCTCAATAGATACAAAAAGGGCTCTTATAATTGATAAAACAAATTCATCTAAGTGTCAGGATAAAATCAGTAACCTTCCTAATGCCAAAGACAAAAACACTGAGAAAGAAATCAGGGAAAAAAAATCACATTCACAATAACCTCAAAAACTAAAAGCTGTTGGATAAACCTGGCCTGGGAAGTGGAAAAACCTTTATACTGAAAACTTTTAAGACAATGAAGAAAGAACTGAGAAAAACAGTAGATGGAAACATTTCCCATTCACATGGATCAGAAAAAACTAAAACTATCAAAATGGCCACCCAACTAAAAGTAACCTACAGATTCAATGTACTCTCAATCAAAATTGTAGTTCCATTCTTAATAGAAATATATAAAACAATGATAAGACACATATGGAATCACAAGAGACCCAGAATAGACAAAACAAGACAGCTAGCGGTATCACCACCCCTGATTTCAATCACAATGGAATTTTACTGTTCTGTCTGATACCAGGATCCTACCTTCAACACTGTGTGTTTAATTTGGAGTAACTACAGAGATCAGAAGGCTAGAAAGAGCTCCTGAGAACAGGGAGCGGAAGAGGCTTAAAGTGGGAAGGGAACAGTAGCACATAATGTCAAGGTGGTGGGGGCGGTGATGATACTGAAGGTAAAATAATACTGAGGATAAAAAGCTTTTTAAAAGGGTGGGGGAGGGGAGACAGCAGCAGGTGGATCACTGTGAGTTTGAGCCCAGGATAGCCAAGGCTACAGAGAAACCCTCTCTCGAAATACAAAAACAAAAAACAAACAAACAAACAAAAAGATAGGGAGATGGGGAAAGAAAGAAGCAGCTGCTGGGGAAGAGGTAATCCTTTTTTAGGGGGGTAGCCATTTGTAAGCTCTCCATAGTACATGAATATCCCCACATCCATGCACATGCAACCAACCCTGACTAAATTCAGTGGGCTTCTTGTTGTTTTTGTTGTTGTTGTTTTAAATTATCAAAGTAGGGGGAGGACATGTGAGGAAAAGAAGGGAGATAATTCCAGAAGCAGTGGATGGGATGAGTGTGAACACTTGGCTCCCAACCATCTAACTCCAGTCCCAGGGGACCTGGGACTATTGTCTCCTTAGACACTAGTCATGCATGTGGTACACATACATACACGGTGGCAAAACATCACACACATAAAAAAATGATTATTTTTTAAATTAAAAAACTTTTAAAAAGAGAAGGAAAAAGAAAATCTCCATGAGAGCTTAAGTCTAAAGCAGTGACATCACTAATTGCAGAGAAACTCTTGGCTGGGACTATGGAAGCCAAAGGCCGATTAGCTCATTGCTAACACACTGGCAATCGCGCTAGCAACTTGGCCCAACCCCAAGAGAAAGTGATGTGAACATTATACACCATTAAGCTGACTCAGAGAACAAATGACTAACTTTCCGATAATCAAGATTTTGCCATGGCCATTCTTCATTTTGATTCAACCTAAGTTTAATGCATCATGACTAATGATTCCGGTCTATACTAAAGGAAGTTTCTCTACTGTGGGGCATCATTCCCAACTCATGCCAGGAGGAGGAGCATCTTAGTACCTTTCAAATGGGATCACCTGTGAACACTCCTCCTCACCAGTGGGCTATAAAGCAGTGGCTCTGTCCATGGGACCTATGCTATTTAAGGACCAGCCAGTTCATTAACATCACCTGCCATAGCCCTGCACCTCAAGTAGTAAAATCAAATATGGTCCAAGGAGAAAAATCTTTTACTAATAAAGGAGGAAATAAAGAAAGCAAACAGTGAAAGACTACTTAATTTATACCACCGAAGAAATGAGAACGGAAGTCCCTTGCCAGAGCTTCCGAGGGAAAGAGAAAGACTAGCAGTTCCACATCACTGTCAGCGTTTCTGTCACTCTTCCATGCTAAGGATTCTGTATGCAAGGCGTAGGCACCTAGGATCCTCTAACGAGAGGTGATGGAATGTGGAAAATATTTGAAGTTCAGTTTGCCCCCCTTCCATAGCCCTCAGCAGAGCCCTCAACCACATACTCCTCCTGGTGATAAAAATTACCATGATGGACAAGAGAGTCCAAATCCATGTGGAGCTTGTCATAGGCTCTTGTCTTTCCTTACATGGGCCTTCTGATTTCATGTCTACCTTCAAGAAGCTCAGAGACATGATGCCCCACCCTCGACACCGGAAACAGCTCACTGCAGTCTGGCAGGAGGTATATAGCTGTAGCAGGAAAAGCTAGCTCTCCATGAGCACTACTCTCCAACATCCAATGGCTCTTTCAAAGAGCCATTCAAGTTCAGTGTGTTGTGAGAAATAAATCAGAAACTTAACCTTACAGATCAAGGCATATTCTAATGATGGCCTGAAAGCCGAAAGGGAAATGCAATTAATCAGAATTCCTTACTCCCAGATCCCCACAAGGAACAGTGTGGCTGCCCTTAAGGGAAAAGATGAACACACGGGACACCAGCACCCAGCCTTGTCCCCATTTCCCAACAGTCCTCACTGGACAACTCCTTTTACAAGTAATTTACCCAGTACCTTCATTACTTTTCCTGTTGAGATAAAAATACTGGCCAAGGTCACAGCTCAAGGTTATAGTCAACCACTACAGCGAAGTCACAGCACCAAAACTTCAGGCAGCTAGTCAGATAGCATCCATAATCAAGAACAAGCTTCTGTAAAGCAAAGGACACCGTCATCAAAACAAAACGACTGCCTACAGATTGGGAAAAAATCTTCACCAACCCTTTATCTGACAGAGGGCTAATACCCAGTATATATAAAGAACTAAAGAAGCTGAAAAGCAGCAAACCAAGTAATCCAATTAAAAAATGGGGAACAGAGCTAAACAGAGAATTCTCTGTAGAGGAATATCGAATGTCAGAGAAACACTTAAAGAAATGTTCAATGTCATTAGCCATTAGGGAAATGCAAATCAAAATGACCCTGAGATTTCACCTTACACCCATCAGAATGGCCAAGATGAAAAACTCAAGTGACAACACATGCTGGAGAGGCTGTGGAGAAAGGGGAACCCTCCTCCACTGCTGGTGGGAATGTAAACTTGTACAACCACTCTGGAAATCAATCTGGAGCTTTCTCAGACAACTAGGAATAGCGCTTCCTCAAGATCCAGCCATACCACTCCTAAGCATATATCCAAAAGAGGCTCAGGTACACAATAAGGACATTTGTTCAACCATGTTTGTAGCAGCTTTATTTGTAATAGCCAGAAGCTGGAAACAGCCCAGATGCCCCTCAACTGAAGAATGGATGCAGAAATTGATGTACATCTGCACAATGGAATATTATTCAGCAATGAAAACTAAGGAAATCATGAAATTTGCAGGTAAATGGTAGGACCTGGAAAGGATCATCCTGAGTGAGCTGTCCCAGAAGCAGAAAGACACACACGGTATATACTCACTCATATAGACATGTAATATATGATGAACCTACTGAAATCTGTACATCTAAAGAAACTAATCAAGAGAGAGGACCCTGACATGTTCAATCCCCATCCCAAAAGACAAAGAGGAAGAACATCAGAGGAGGAAGAAAACAGGAAACAACCTAGGAACACAGAGGGCCTCTGAAATCCTCTGCCCTGCAGACTATCAAAGCAGATGCTGAGATTATGGCCAACTGTTGGACAGAGTGCATGAAATCTTATGTAAGAAGTGGGAAATAGTAAGATCTGGAGAGGACAGGAACTCTACAAGGAGAGCAACAGAACCAAAAATTTGAACAAAGGGGTCTTCCCTGAGACTCATACTCCAACCAAGTAACATGCATGGAGATAACCTAGAACCCCTGCACAGATGTAGCCCATGGCAGTTCAGTGTCCAAATGGGTTCCATAGTAATGAGAAGAGGGACTGCCTCTGACGTAAACTGATTGGCCTTCTCTTTGATCACCTCCCCCTGAGAGGGGAGCAGCCTTACCAGGCCACAGAAGATGACAATGCAGCCACTCCTAATGAGATCTAATAGACTAAGATCAGAAGGAAGGAGAGGAGGACCTCCCCTATCGGTGGACTTGGGGAGGGGCATGCGTGAAGAAGGGGGATGGAGGGTGGGATCGGGAGGGGAAAAGGGAGGGGCTTATGGAGGGATACAAAGTGAATAAAATGTAATTAATAAAAAATTAAAATTAAAAAAAAAAGAAACAAGAATGTTTGTGCTCAGTCTCCCTTTCCCATTTTACTCAGTCTAGGATTCCTGCCAAGAGAATGGTGCCACCGACAATAGGCTGGTCTTCCCATTTCATTTAACCCAAGCAAGATAACCCCCAGCAGACATACCTAGGGGCCCATCACTCAGATGCTTCTAGCTCGAGTTGACAATTGATATTAACCAGCACACACAAGTGACAAGCTCCTTGGTACCAAGACACGGTCCCTTCGCTTTTGTTTCTCCACTGCACAATGCCTACAAGCACCAGTAGACACAAGGTATGGGCTCTGCTTCCCAAAAACAGTCAGTGAAAGGTGACTCCTATCCTCAGGGGTCTAGCCTGCCAGATTGCTCCAGTCATTGAGGACAGCTGGCCATTCCCTCCTACCCAGAGCCCTGTGCAGAGGGGCTGCGGGGTCCGGCACCAACGCTCCTATCCCTTCCGCATCTTCTCAGGCAGTTTTTCAGTTTAATGAAGTTTGTCCTTGCAACCTTCTTTCCCTCTTAAAGAACTCAACAACAACAACAAAACAAATCTCTTAGGAGCAGAAAGACCATCCACAGTCTGCGATCCTCTCCTCACACCTGGCAAAAACATCGTTGTTGGCTCTTAGAATCATTTGAGTTGAACCTCTGCTACAGAGTGGAATCATTGCAGGAATCATTTGCCTAAAAAAAATAAATCCTGACATCAGTTTCTAAAATAAAATCCCTCAAACAACTGTCACTCAATAATAGTCACTCACCTAAAAACACAAACAACTCAGTCTTCACTTGCTCGCAGAATCAGGTCTGGTGGACAGTTTAGTGACAGTACTCTCCCCTCAGGCTCCATAGTATCCTAGGCCAAACACTAGTAGTGGGTTCTTTGTCAGCTGCTTTCCGGCTTGCTCCCCAAGGCTTGCTCAACCTGCTTTCTGACAGAACCCAGGACCACGGGGCCAAAGATGGCCCCATCCACAATGGGCCGGGCCTCCCCATCAATCACTAATTAAGAAAATGCCTTACAGGCTTGCCTACAGCCTGATCTTATGGAGGAATTTTCTCAATTGAGGTTCCCTCCTTTCAGACTCTAGCACGTGCCAAGCTGAAAAACAAACAAACAAGTAGCCAGCACAGTGAGGGTTGTTGCACACACATGTGACAGTGTACACATGGAGGTCAAAGGACAGTTTCTGAGACTCGGCTTCTAGCACGTATGTCCTGGGGACTGAGCTCACAAGGCTTGCCCAGCAAGTGCCTTCACCCACTAAACTATATTGCCAGGCCTCTAAGGATTTTCTTAGGAACAAACTATCTATTGATACTTAAACTACTAAAAATTAACACAGAGATTTTAAAATTATTTATTCAGTAATTCATTTATAATCAATAGGAAACTCAGTACATAATAATAAAATTAGCAGCAAAGTAAAATTTTTGAGAAGAAATTTTAAAGACAAGATTAACAGAAAACGGTGTCCTTGGCACATCTGTTTCTACATTCGGTCTGATAAGCTATATTGTTTGGGTTGAAAGTATCCAGCCTCACACAGGCTTGTGGTGGATGCACCCTGAGAGTTCAATCAGCATAACGAATCCTGCTTGTTTGACAGAACATCAGAAATGAACAAGTAGTCTTCTTCCAAGTTAGCTGCAACGTGGACTCTGAAACTCTAACAATCAACCTACTAACCTTGCTCTGTGAACAAATATTTTGCCTCTGTGTAGTCTTTTTTTATATAACTTTATTTACTTATTTAATTTTTTTGAGACAAAGTTTTTTTTAAGATTTGTTTATTTATTATTTATACAGTATATAGTATTCTGCCTGCATGTGTGCCTGCAGGCCAGAAAGAGGGCACCAGATGGCTGTGAGCCACCATGTGGTTGCTGGGAATTGAACTCAGGACCTTTGGAAGAACAGCCAGTGCTCTTAACCTCTGAGCCATCTCTCCAGCCCCTGTGTAGTCTTTTAAGGACAAATATTATTTCACTGAATGAAAATATCTCCTAAGTTAACAACATATTTCAGCAAATAACATCGAAATTCACATCTGTTAAAGTCACACCTGAGTTCAAATCAACCATGGGAGGAGATACAAGTTTCCCAAAATTCTAACTTTTGCCTGAAGCCACAAATTTTATCATTTGCAACAAATACAGGCAGTTTTTCCTTTGAAATAGCAAGTTCACTTATTTAATTTCCAGACTGTCTGCCAAAATCACAAGTTAGAGTAACCATAGTTTGCCAGTTGTTTTACTTTTTTTTTTTTCCATAGAAAAACAGCTCTACATGGAAGGAGGACATAGCTTAATTTCCTACTCAAGAAAGGCATAAACATTTTTCCTCAAAAGAGCCTTTGTGCTTCCACCTACAGAAGGACATTATGCAAATTCCAATTCCATAATATGCCAGCAATATTAAATATATATATAACACTAAGAATGTTTGAAAGAGCCATATGGAAGCTGTCTTAGTTAGGGTTTCTATTGCTGTGATAAAACACCATGACCAAAAGCAACTCAAGGATGAAAGGGTTTGTTTCCCATACAATTTCACATTACAGTCCATCATCCAAGAAAGTCAAGGCTGAAACCTGGAGACAGGAGCTGATGAGCAGAGGCCATGGAGGAGTGCTGCTTACTGGCTTGCTACCATGGCTTGCTCAGCCTGATTTACTATACAACTCAGGACCACCTGCAATGGGAGGAGCCCTCTCATGTCAATCACTAATGAAGAAAGTGCCCCACAGGCTTGCTTACGACACTCTTATGGAGGCATTTTCTCAGTTTAGAGTCCCTCTTCCCAAATGACTCTAGCTTGGGTCAAGTTGACATAAAACTAACCAATCACAGAGCATAACATTTTAAAAGATAAATAGATATATATGGAATATATCATGTATATATATATATATATATATGTGTGTGTGTGTGTGTGTGTGTATGCATATATGCATATACTAAATATGTATGTGTACATACACACATTCATACACACACAAACACACTGTAAAGTTGTGGAGCTAACTGGAGTTACCCTATACAGAATCCATGGATTAACAAATAAAAACTCCAGTACCAGATAGATATTCAATACCTCTCCTCAAGGTGTCCTGAAGAGATGTCCTGGAGAACCCTCTCCCTCCCAAAAAAATTCAGGCTGTTCCTTTACTCTACCCACCAGCAGTTGATGGTAAAATCCGATTTCTGAAGACACCACACAGACTGGTCACAGGATATAGAGAAATCAAGCTGGTACTAACCAGAAGCTTCCTCCCTGCTGGCTAGCTTTCACAGTACTGGGAGGTTCTATGTAGGTTTCTAGGAAGAAAAAGTCATCAACAGTCACAAATGCTTACATTTGTGAATCACATGAACTACAATAACGACAGACACTGCAAGATATTATTCCCATGAATGCAATAGTGGCACAAATGTTATGGGTATAACCAACAACTTCCACGTAGGATTTGAGGCCCACTCCAAAGAAGAAAACACGTGCTTGGTGCTGTAAA